CTAGAGGCTACGATCTTAAGAACAAATCCGCAGGCAAGGTGCTGAAGATCTCGACTGAGATCTTTTGGTTAGAGGCTGCGATCATTGAGGGTCACCATTTTCGCCTTGAAAAATATGGAGTTTGCGGCCTAACATCGTGTTTGTGATCCAGAGTGTCACGGGTGCGATCCTTACCGCGGGCACGGAAGCCGTGGACCGTAAAACGATGGCCGAAACTTTCTACTTCTTCCGATCTTGCCTCTTTTGAAGTTCACACTCTTGGCTCCAAATTCTCTGTCCGTGAACTTGAGGCTGCGATCTTCAGGTCAAGTTCACGGGCGAGAGGCAGAAGATCGTAGCCAGGATCTTTGTACTGAAGGTTGCGATCTTGTGAACTGATTCATTCCCTCTCTTCATGTCTGGGATCTTGGCTATGAAGGCTTGGATTGGATATTGGCTCCTTCGACCATGATCTCCGTTTTTTGCTCCTTTTTTACACTTGTGCACCTTTTCCGTACCTAATTCACATGTATCGTCTAAAGCACCCTAAAATAACAACATAATCAAATAAGAATGAAATAGGGATGTAATCGACGATATTATTCTTATTATGCACACGAATTAGCACGAAACAAACCTAAATATGAAGGGTAAATAACACTGATTTAGGTGTTATCATAGGTTGCTTTTCGATGTTCCGGATTACTTTCTGAGGGAGTGATTTTGTAAACCTTGGTCAATCGATTAAAAGGCTTAGGGTTTCCTAGCTAATGTGATCTCCTCGCGATATATGATCCTACCTATTTCACTAGAGTGTCATTCATTGTATCTTGACACGAGACTACGGGGAGCACTATCCGAGTGATTCTTTCTTAATCGAACTCACCAAAGTTTACTTCATTGTTTAATTTGTTTAGTCTTCTTAGCTTTAACTACAACCCAATCGCTAGATAACGTGTGAACAATTAAAGTAAGGGTAGATACACCGCGTGGGTTGTGATAACACTTAAATTGGTGCTATTTACCCTTCATATTTAGGTTTGTTTCATGCTAATTCATGTGCATAATAAGAAGAATATCATCAATTGCATCCCAATTTCGTTCCTATTTTACTATGTCGTGATTTTAGGGTGCTGTAAAATATACATGTGAATTAGGTACCAAAAAGGGCACAAGTGCAGTGAGATGGGCAGGAAGATGAAGATCACAGCCTGGACATGGAAGATCTCGGCCGAGATATCAAACCGCAAAGTAGGAGAGACGATCCCGGCCTGAGGACCATAGTTCGGGGTCGCAAAATGGAACCCTCAGTCGCTAACTTCGTGAGGAAGCCACCTAAGAGAATACAGAAACTTTCGACGGTCGGATCATGATCACCATCTTCCTGACAGCTAGGAAGTTCGCAGCCACGACTCATGTATTGCGACCGTGAAGTCATCCCGTGAACTCCCAAAAGACGAAGACTAAACGGTGACGCTTGAAGATCGTGGGCTTGAAGGGAAAGATCCCGACCGTTATCTCCAGAATTATATAAATAGAGGACCTCTTCCCCCATTTTAAGGGAGCTTTTGAGATCGAAATTTTTGGTTTAAAGAGAGATAAGAGTGAGAAGTTGAAGGAAGGAGAACGAGGAGAAGCAAGAGGAGAGGATCCATCTTCCTCAACATCAAGTCTTCCCCAAATTCTTCTATGTATCTTCTTCCCTCCTTTATGGTGTAGTCTCTTAAGGTAATAGGGGTTTTAACCCCCAAACCCTAGTTTTATGGCTATTATGTAATGAATGAATATGTTAGGGTTTTTAATGAATGTGTTTTGTCTAGTTAATTTTAATGCTTCCTCTAACTTTAATTATGCTTGGGTAAGTCACTCTAATCTTCACTACTAGGCTACTTGAGCTTCTACGCAAGGGTATGAAGTTTTAGGGTTAGATGGGTATGCGCCATCTAGCATATTAGGGTTAGATGAATGAATAGGGTCTTGTGATGGACGAGTGGACCGACCCCTACCACAAGAACGCCTTCCTAGACGGAACTCGGGATAAAACCTCGATTTGGACGGTGGGTAGTACCCATTGAAAGGAGCTAGGTTCTTAAAGCCCCAAATACATGACCCTATACCGAGGTGACAATAGGGTAGGTAGGGCGTACTCGGAGGCGTGTGGATAATCACGAAGGTCCAAAGAAAAGAGCTCACTCACCACATTCACTTAACCCAACATGTTTAGACATTTGCATGATAGACCTAGGCTAGGGCGAGGCTTAGTTCCCCGATGTACCTGCTTTTATCCTTGTTTAGTCTCTATACTAGTTATTTCACTTGAATCCTCTAACACAACCCCTTAAACCGATCGGCTAGATAACAACAACGTGGGAAGTATTCTAGGGTACCGAGAACCGAGTGAATATGACATTGATTGCCACTATAAGAAAATGCCATTATAGGTTAAACTTGGGCTAGAATGTGGTAGTTATTGGTACGTGCAAACTAATGACAATGACTTGCACAGAATATATCAATCAGGTTGATATTGAAATATTTACCCTATTCCTACACCCTCTATAGGTTGCACTTGGCCTATAGTTGAGATCAAGTGTAGTGATAGCTAAGTCATGATGACCCTACTAAGAACATTCCAGCCACTTCTATAACCATGCTTTTGACCTTTTTGATTTCGAATACCTTTACAATAAAATAAATTCACTGAAAAACTAAACGTCGCTTTAGTTTTTTAATCTCTCTAACTTAAAATCTAAAATTACTAAATTATCCTTAATTAATAAAAAAATAAAAGAAAGACAACCCTTAAAATCTCTAATAATCTTCCATTGCAAAACATCATCCTTAGCGACCTTCTGCACATTCTTCATTCGTATGTGACACCATCCACCCAACCGCGACCGACCTCCTGATGCTTTAAATAAATGTTTTTCCTTTGTTGGACCGAGTGTGGTTAGTTAGAATAAAATATTTCCTAATAATAAAAAAATGAACAGCATAAAAATATCTTAACATTTAATTGAGGGGTTACAATAAAAGCTAAGCTAGTGTGACAATTAGGCATCCTCTAATAATATATATAGTAGACATGGTTGTCATGCTGGTGGCATGCCACCCGGTTCAACTTGGTTCAACCTGTGCCGGTCATGAAACCGGCATGACACCACTGGTATGACCGGTATGATCGATTTACTCATTCTAAGTAAAATGACATCATTTTAATGAATTTAATGAATAAAAAAATTAATTTATTATTCATTTTGTGAATATAATAGTTAAAAGTTTATGATATTTGTTGAATTGTAACTAAATTGGCCACAAATATGTTTTTATATATGATTAGATACATTGGATATTAATTGTTTTCACATTTTTTAAACCGGCATGAACCGACACAAACTGGTTATACCACCGGTTGTACCATTCCACTTGCCAAACCTGCACAACAGTATAAACCGGTTTGACAACCTTGATAGTAGAGTTATGTCTACTTTTCTCTATTTCAAATTTCCTACAACGAGAGTAAAAGTAGGAATGACATTTTTGTCTTTACAATTAAGTATTTATTCCAATATAAAAATGTCAATTTAAGGATTTGAACCCAGGTCTATTCAAACAAAGACAACAATCGCAACCAATTACACTACACAATTTTTTTTAACCTTTTTAATACAAAACATACACGAAGTGACACTCTCAAATCAGAGGGCTTTTCATCATGATTAGTAAGTCCACTAAGTCTACCATATGTATTTTTATGGTTCTTGATACTGCAATTTTCATAGAAGAGTTTCATGTAGTTCTCAATTCTAAAATCACTATTCTCTCTTTAATTTTCGCTAAAGGTAAATTGGTAATTGGCCAACATGGAAGAAACTAATTCTATTACTACGTGTTGTGTCCTTGCATTTTTTAATTTATATTTACATTTGTACTTTTTTATCTTTGTTCTTATCTCTTTCTAACTTCCTCTGAAATTTCCTCTATCGTGCAAAAGTTTGCGCCCCTTTCACTTTATAGTAAAAGTTCGCATTTGAAAATCAATCTACCGGTCCCTTGGCACTACGATTTTATTTTTGGGGATTTAAATTGGGCAAGTAAAAGATTTCAACTCCGATATCAACCCATGGCGAATAGAATGGAGTTCAATAAATGGAGGTGTAGAAGGAGGATTAAAAATTGAATTTTTGGTTGAAACATAGGCCTCTTGAGATTGAAGATAGAGTGGATAAAAATTTTATTGTACAATAGAGAGTGGTGGCTATTGGATCTTTAGGTTTATGGTTTTTTAATCTATCGCAACCTAATTCTATCTTAAAACGAGGAATCATCGATTGATTTGCTGAAGTATGTCGGTCGATTCTTTATTCAACCTACTGAAACTAATAAATAAAGAAGGAGTGTCTAATTTTGTTCCTTATTACTTTGATCGAGTCTATTAGTATATTGGAGGTAACCATAATTTTGGCGTTTGCTCTCAAGTTGTGATGATCCCCTCTTAGCTGAGTTGTTAGCATATAGTTGACTTGAATCAACAACTCTCCATTTATTTTTGATTAGTGACATATTGGTCCTAAAAGGAGAGCATTGAACCTTTATGTAGGATTGCGAGGTTTAAGATTAAGTTTCAAACTATCTATAATTCGTGAGGAATTTTAAGTGAGCTTTTATACTCTATCTTTCTTGACAATCAACTAACCAATAGTATTTTACTGGGGACTTAATTATCATTATGAAAATGAGATCAATGATACATTTTTAGATTTTTCCAAATATTCGATCTATATATTATTTTTTTATGTATCATCTCGATTGAATGATTGTCAATAAAATTAAACGACTTGACAGATTTAAACATACATAAAAATATAAATAATCAAATATTAATATTCCGGTCAACGGCGGGTTATAAGCTAGTTCCCGTAAGTCGTAATGATAAAATTACCCCGGCTAGGCCGCGAGAACAAAGCTGGTAATAATAATAAAATATAAAACATATAGGAAGATGATCCCTGCTGGCTGCTGATAGCTATAATAATATGCTATTTATGCTGCCCGTCCCGTCTCCGATCAAATAGTTCCCATTTTGTTCTCCTAAAACGCGAACCCTAACCCCCCCAATCTTCCATCCGAAGTGAAACAAAACCGTTCCTTTGATTCGTCAGTTGACATGGCTACGGGCGATCTTCTCAGCATCCATCCTTCAGAACTCAAATTCCCATGTGAGTTTCCCCACCTTTATTTGCCTTGTTTCCCCAGTCGTCGAGTTGTTTCCAGGGAAAGTTGATCGTAAGGGCACCGGAATTTGGTGGAATTTCAAAACGTCGTTTAGGTTGATTGGGGGAATGATAAGATCCGGTTAGAATTTAAGACCCAGTGGTAGTATTTGGTTGCTAATCGTTGTTGTATCAGTAGTTCTTAGTTTCGGTTGGTGCCTACTAGATTTGAGTTTTTGGGTATGCGGATGAAACTTGAAACGAATACTGGAGTGTGATGGGGTTATGAACTGACCTGACTGCAGTGTAATTCATGTTCTAATTCTATCAACCCTTTGGAGCTCGTTTCATCCATTTTTTTGCATTTTATTGGGGGCGTTTGTGAATTTGTCCAATTGTTGGTTCTCTTAATTCACTTGTCTTACTTTGTCTTTCATCAAGTCGAATTGAGGAAGCAGAGTTCTTGTTCTATGCAACTGACCAACAAGTCCGATAATTATGTGGCTTTTAAGGTGCGTTCTTTTCTTCCATGCCTCTCCTTCCGTATCTAACATTTTTATGTTATCTTGGCTATTGGCTACTTTCTTCCGATTCCTATTTTGCTTCTGACTGCTTTGATGTAATCTAATAGGTTAAGACAACAAATCCGAAAAAGTACTGTGTCCGGCCCAACAGTGGCATTGTTTTGCCTGGCAGCACTTGCAATGTTACTGGTAAGTGATGTTTTCTTTGTATGGTTAAAGTCCCTGAATCTAATTTGATTAGTTGGTTGTTGGTGAGTTGTCTGCTCCCCGATGTTAATTCCTGAAGTTGTTATTGGGCATGTTCTTGAAATCTCCCAAATTGAACTGCCAAACCTACTTGTTGTATGGGCGTTAATGTCTATTCTGTATTCGGTTTTGGGTGTTGAAGTTAAGCCTTTCTTCATATTGTAGTATTCCATGAGTCCTTTTGTGTTGGGTTGATTTGAAAAGTTCTTACTATTTAACATATCCTGTGATGCGTTCTGGTAGTTACAATGCAAGCACAAAAGGAAGCACCTCCAGATATGCAGTGCAAGGACAAGTTTTTGCTTCAAAGTGTTGCTGCTCCCGATGGTGTGACAACAAAAGACATTACACCAGAATTGGTTGGATGATTTTCTTCTGCATAACCTCAATTTCAGAACTAATTGGATTTTCCTTGGATCTAAGATAGGCATTTATTGCTTTGCAGTTCGATAAAGCGGATGGCAAGGTGGTAGAGGAGGTCAAGTTGCGTGTTGTTTATATCCCGGCTAATCCTCCTTCACCAGTGCCTGAAGAATCTGAAGAAGGGTCTCCATCCAGGTCTTCAAATGTTGAGAATGGCAGTCAGGATGCAGCGTTGCTCAATGCTGTAAGTATTTTTTATTTATTTTGGAACTTCTTACACTTCTTCTCCTGTAATCTCCAGAAGACCTCTTTGTTGGTTTGCATATCGTTTCAGTTTCCATATAACTCCCGCATTATTTTCAGGTGTCAAGATCCTTAGAGGAGCCCAAGGAAAAATCAGCTGAGGTAAGCTGTACCGGGTTCTTCCCTTGCCTGTTTTTCAGAGTCATGATAAGCATAAACTCCATGACATATAAGATGTCTAGCCTGCCAATGCTACAAAAATTTCTACACAGCGAAACTCATTTTGTGCAGGTTTGTTCAGGGTTTTGTGGTTAACTGAACTTGAAATATGTCAACCATAATAGCTAGACAAACAGCTGCATGTCCTCTGGTCCTAATGTTTGAGAATCATACTTTACTTTTCCTATATTTGTACCAACATGGAACTTAGATTTTCATGGCTGCCTTCTCGGCGAAGGTTCTATTTAAATAATGAAAGATGTAAACTCCGTGCTGCTTTTTCCTTGCAATACTTTTGTATGGGTTGCCTAAGGATATTTGTGCTTCAGGCATGGTCCATGATCTCAAAACTGACTGAAGAGAAAAATACAGCCCTACAACAAAATCAGAAGCTACGACAAGAGCTGGTATGTTCCAAGTCTATATGTTAGTTGAATTCAGTCCGACTTTTATCTGTTGTGATCTACTATTACTGATTTACTATATAGTACTTATGTGTTCGTTTTCTAGTTTCTACTGCTGGTTGGTGGAATTCTATTGTTGTCCTATAACTGCATGCCCTGATTTGCTTTCATTTTCTGAAGCAGGAGCTAATTAGAAAACGAAATGGCAGCAGCAATGCGGGTGGCTTCCCTTTATTGGTGGTTCTGCTGGTTGGTCTGATAGGTATCCTAATTGGCTATGTGTTCAAGAGAACATAGCACCTTGACCAAATGCTATGTTGATGATTTTTATTTTGGGTTTGTTAGAGAAGTTGTGATGCTTTTGTTAGTTGGCGATTGTTGGTGAACTTTGCAAGGGTGTGGCCAACTTTTGTAAGAGCGAGTAAGATTCTGCTTGTACTATTGGTGCTGTCCAATTATGATTCTTTCCACACATCTTAAGTGGGTCTGTGACACTGATTGATTTAGAATGGGGAAAAGACCCAGTCACTGTAGGAACGTATACTATTGTTGGGTTATTTGTAGGCCAGTTAGTAGTATGTGTTATTCTTCTTCATTAGTGAGGTTGATTCTCTTGGTTCGTGCTTGCTTAGTTGCTTGGTCTCTCTATTTCTTTCCCCCTTCACGGTCTATTCTTAACTTCCATCTTTAATACTAGCATAGTATAGGGCCCGGGCAAAGAATTTTGTTGAGTAATAATGTAATATGGGTATATAATAATAAATATAATAAATGATTTGAAATGCATGAAATGATTGTTTTCTACTTTATTTATGCATCTAGCATTTTTGAAAGTGATACAAATATACTTAATGTGTTTAGATCTACATGAAAAGAGAAAAAATATATAATATAAGCATTACATATAATTACTGAATGAAAAAGGAAATAAATATAAATAATTGTGATTCATTACTTAATTAAACCATATAGTTGAATATTAGAGTTGCTTCTCATAATACATACATAATCAACTTTTAGGATAAAAGACAATGTCTCATAGAGTTTAGTATGTCCTTTAAGTTTTTTTTTTTTTTCCGTTGAATATGTCCTTTAAGTTTTTCCCAATAGAAGCATTCTTTTTTACCACACCGTTGATAATGAATATGAAGTTGATTGATTTGAAATATATAGGAAATGATGTTAAGTTGTCACTAATAGTTAGTTGGACAATGTGTTGTGTACGGACTTTCCAAACTATTCTCAAATTGCCAATGTGTCTAGCAACAATGTAGTAATTTTCATGCAACAAATATTTTTTCATGAAATAATTCAATAAATAAAACCCTATGAAAATAATACTAAAATATATGTTACTCATTAAGTTGATAAATGAGCGAGGGTATGAGTACATTTCTTTTAAAAACTTAGAAGTTGCAAAGTGTCTTTTGGGTTTAATGAGATCGCATATTCTCATTATAGCTAACTGACTTATGCATTTTTTTGCAATAGATAGTTCAGAATGTGTCTTAAAACTTTTGTTTCCACCAGTGTAAAAGAATTATGTGAACTAAAGCATTGTAAAATCGTATCGAGAAAGTTGGTAGTAGAGTATTTTATACTAAAGTCATCATTTAACTGTGGTTCAACCGTTTCATACTGCTAAATATCACCTACCGATTTAGCCTACGATGTGAAGTTTTATGGTCTAACCGTCGGTACGTACGATCTTTCAATACAAACTTTAAATAAAGATCCACTAAAATATTGGCATTATCAAATACCCCTTAAATCTAAAAAAATTACAATAATCATATTAAGGAAAAAATCATCCAAATGATAGTATTTATTTAGGATACTAAATTGAAATGGAAAAATCTGTCAAATATAATATCTTCAAAAATAAATCAAAACCCAACTAAATAGGGCAAAAAATATTCACTAAGCAAAGCAGAAGGGCAATTATTTCACACTACCTCATTTTCCCTCCTTTAAATGTTTACTCTCACTCTCTCTTTGCCTTCCTCTTTGTTTTTTGATTTGTTCTTTTATCTCTCTCTCTCAGCTTTGTATCTCACCACTCTTCCCCTTTTCCCTTCCTCTTTCTTCCCACCGTATGAAATCGAGAGAAACCTTGAAACATCTCAATTACTTCTCCAATTTTGCGTTCGAAATGCTTCTTCTCCAATCACAATCGATAGTGTGGATCAGAGCACCTGAAACCTGGTGAACAGATGGTCGCTTATTCCTCGACGGAGCAAATTAGTTTGATAGCTTGTGAATAAACTAATTACTAAAAGTGATAAAAACAGAACTCGTTAAACAAATCGGGTGAGTGTATAGTTAGTTCATCGCTTAAAGCCTTCAACCATTTTATTTATCTACAGAATCAAAATGCATAATCAGGTTCATCTTCACTTATTTACTTGTATTTGTCGTACAAATTCATTACACATAAAAAATGGTTTTGAATCAGCGACATATCAAACTAAATCTCATCTTATGATTATTGGATCCATATCAGATTAGCAAAAGGTCTAAGGCTATTAAGCAACCCCGCTTAAAATTAATACTAATTTATGAATTATATATCGCCTCCAAAATGTTCAATACTCCAATTCAATATACAATATTCAAACAAATGATATATGAGTTTCAACTCTTCCTATAAAATTTTAGACAAAAAAATCTCCACACATCTTAAGTGGGTCTGTGACACTGATTGATTTAGAATGGGGAAAGACCTAGTCACTGTAGGAACGTATATTCTTGTGGGGTTATTTATAAGCCAGTTAGCATGTGTTATTCTTCTTCGTTAATGAGGTTGATTATCTTGGTTTGTGCTTGTTTAGTTGCTTGGTCCCTCTATTTTCTTTCCCCTTCACTGTCCCGTCATTGTCAATATAAGTAGGGACTAGGGAGGGTCATGTCCATTCTGAAGCGTCTAACAAGAGAAACTGTTTTTTTTTTTTTACAAATTGGATTCATTAAATAACAAATGGGGTAGACCCACAAGAAAAGATCAAAGAAATATTATAGCAAAAAAGAAAGAAAAAACATATCCAAACTCCAAAGCCCAAACCCCCAATACAACTACTAATACTACGGTGCCGCTGTAAAAGTGCGGCATCGGTGACGCACATTTTTATTGGGCCACGTGGATAGTGATGTGGTATGGGTTGAGTTGAATAAATTCCACTCAAACCGTTGGTCATGGGACATGAACAAACCGATTCTAGCAAAACATACAACACGTCTCCGTCTTCACAGTTCACCCAAACCTTTTGTTATTTTTTCTTTTTTTCATAAATTAGTTAAAATATATCTAAGAAAAACAAACACAGGTCGTCTTCCTGAATCTCTCCCTCCGTCTGAATGTGGAAAGAAAAACTACTCTGGCGAACTTCACCATCGCCGATCCAAACTCCACTCTCTACCGCTCGCCTACAATAATCCCCTTGCACCGTATTCCTCCTCCTACACTCATTATGTAAAACAAAAAAAATGAATCCCTGTTTCTGAGCTTACCGCTTTTTTCGTCGTAGAACTCTGTTGTCGCAGACGATCCCAAGCAAAAGAAAGTTTGTATCACCCTCCCTCTGCGCCGTCCCTTCACTTCGCCTCCTCCTTGTTTGAATCATCGAAACCGAATGCAAATCCCTTGGTGCCTAGAGAATTTGCCTAACGAACCGGAAGGGTCCTAGGAAGTCGATTACTTGTACTTTGAGGAACTAAGACAACGATTGGGGACGTTTTGGTGCTGAATTCGGCTTAGTTTCCTTTTGCCTTTGTACTTTGATGTCAGGGATGCTGCAATGGAGCCTTGTTGTCGATTTGCCTTATGTTTACTGAGCAACAAGGAATTGGTTGCGTTGTCCCTTGTCTGCTTCTGTGTTCTCCTTCCCTCTTTTATCTCATGTCAGCTAGTAGCTTCTTAGTTCTACATGTACGCTACCTCCTTTTCTGGTTGGTGATTTTCGCCATTCCGAGCCCAAATCTTGAAATGTTGATTGGTTTGTTTTATGTTGCTTTGCTTTTGCATTCAATTGGAATGTCGATGTTGAAATGGCAGGGTTGACGATGTTGGCAAATGGGCGTTAGTTGCAATATTTTGATTGCCGACATTGTTTGCTTGCTAAGACGGATGAGGTATAATCTTATCACAATGGAGACATCAACACCAATGAATCTGTAGGTCAGCAGCCTCTACAGCCTCATACATTGCCCTCAAAAGGCAATTCTCTCTAGTTTTCACTCAACTTATCTATATCACTAAATGGATTAAGAAAGGTGAGACCATCAAGAAATAGCTTGATGCTTTGTCTACTAGTTCCACGAGGAATGATTCTATGAAAGTTGAGAATAATGAAATGGGAAATAGTGGAAGTAAAAATATGATGAATGGAACGATCTAGACTCCCCATTCTTCTTCCTCCACCCAGATCTGCCAGCGCTTAGTCCTCCCACTTTTTCTTCCTCCTTCTTCCTCATCGACACTGCTTCATCTTCCCACCCCCTTCGCCAGTGCTTACTCTTCCCACCCCATCTGTCCCAGCAAGCTAGGCACAATCGCCAGCATCATCGTCAGTATTAGTGCGAAGTTCAACCCCTTGAAGAACGGGTGGGTCCTCACGTCGGCGGCTCCTCACTTCGAACCGAGTCGATGGGTCGAGTCCTTGTCCAGCAACCAGGATATCAGCTCACGCGCGTGCATCTCCATCATCGACGCTGGCGTCTGAGTTAGGAAATTCAGCGGCCTCTTCACGATGTTCCGCAACGTCTGGTCGTTCGGCTGGGGTGTTCTCCCAAACACCCTCCGCTGCTAATTCTTAACCCAATTCCATACCCAACTTACCATCTCCTCCATCCGCGACACATAGGTTTCGAGGGAAGCAATGTCGGCGGCCGTGGCGTCCGTCACAGAGGCGAATAGGGGAAGGAAGAACCCAGATCCCCAAATCGTCTTTCTATTCCAGTGAGTCCAACAGGTTGAGGCTTTTTGGTCTTCTCCTCCAATGAATATCAGACCATTGCAATCACCTTCTAGTGATGGCTTGCGATGCGGAATTGAGGAGAAGCAGCGACTATCTCTCTCTTCTCCCGCTTCAATCGCTGTCATTGGCGAGATTCAGTGAGAACAACGATCGCGAGGTTCACTTCGTCTGGCAAATCCTCAACCGTCTTTTGCCTACTACTGAGGCTCTGATTGAGAAAGGGGTTGAGGTCCTCCCCAGGTGTCCGGTGTGTTGGGCGGAGTCTGAAACGATGGAGCACTTGTTCCTGGACTGCCCTGTGGCCCGTTCCCTCTAGGATAAGGCTGGTCTACAACCTTTTGGGGAGGGGTTGCCGAGACACACTTTCCCTCTTTTCTTGAAATCCTTGTTGGCTAGGGTGAGTCACCCTTCCGTCGTTATGGCCATTGTCTCGCTCCTCTGGCGATCCCGGAATTTGGTGGTGTTCGAGGGAAAGCAGTTTGGGTTTCTGGCCCTGATACGACAGTATGAGCAGCAGCTTTGGGAATGGACTTCTTTGCCTCATAATGCTTCTCCTGTTGTCCCTGGGCCTGCCCCTCCACCCCCTGCCTAGTATGTGGGGGAGGGGGTAGTTTGTCTTTGGGATGGGGCTACCAAAAGTGATTCCCACTCGGCAGGGGGGATGGTTATCTTGACCCCTGCTAGGGAAATAATTTTGGCTAAGGGGGTCCAGTTTGATGGCTTAGATGATCCGCTGGTGGCGGAGTTGCTTACGCTTCGTGAGGCTGTGTCTTGGGTAAGAAACCTTGGTTTTGAGGAGATGAGATTTGAAGG